ACATGTCTTGAACCAGCTTTTGTTACCACAGTTGTCCCTTTTATCTTCAATCATTCACTTCCTTGTTGTCCTATCATCTGGAAGTAGGGAGCAGACTGGAAATTTAGCTGCTTCCAACTCTGCACTTGAAGGATGGAAGTAACCCAAATGCAGAGCTGAAATATGTGGGACTACAACATGTAACGTTAACGCTGTTGCTTATAAGCAGCTCAGGGAATCACCCCTTTTTTTTTTTACAAAAAAAATAAAGAGAAGTAATTTTAAAGAACACCCATTTTAAAAGAAAAAAACCCGCTTTTCCTTACTCCCCCCACTTAAAATAAATCAGAGTAAAGGAAACTCGGTGTGTGTGTGTGTGTGTGTGTGTGTATTTTTTTTCTGTAAAGATTGTCAAGTGCATTGGGATCTTTGGCTTAAAGATATATCCAGAAATGTCAGTTATATTTGCATAACTGAGTGTTTTAAAAAATGTGGTTAAAATAGATATTGGAAAAAGCCAGAGTGTTTTCTTATTGTCACCCTGATGACAAAGGTATGGTAGAGCCTGTGTGTCTTGAAATAATTTCATGGGACATGAAGAAACACAGCCAGCCAAGCTGAATTCAGTTAAGTAAATCACATTATTTACTTAAGCCTATTCTAAAGTAGGTCCTGGTTTTCTTTTCTAAACAATGGTAAAAGAAAAGACATCTTGGGTCCAGACTTATAAATATTCTTATGACCAAAGCTAAGCAGAAGTGGGTCAACACTAGCAGTGTCAAATTAAGTAGCAGCTAGTTTGGTTATAGCCAGTTAAAATGTAGGTACTGTATGGAACACAAAAGAGGGTTTTTTCAAAACTTTATGAGGATAGGATACTTTGTAGTTTATAGATCATGTTCAAAGACTTCTGTAAAACCTTCAGATTTTTAATGATAATCTGGTTTGTTAAAATAAAGATATTTGTATTTAGTTTATTTACTTCTATACGTCTCTACCTATTGTATCATTTGTATTGTGATAGCACCCAAATGCTTCAGAGCAGTGCTCTTTTTGTGACGGTACACACTGGTACAGGCATACCGTCACCATTTTCTGGGAGCACTTGCTGCTTTTCTCTGGCACAGCCCCCAGCCAGCCCTGGGAGCACTCATGGCAAGCCAGAGAGAAGCCTGATTGGGACATGCGGCAATTAAAGGGGCCGTGACTACATTTTGATCCCGACCTCCCAGGCTTTTTTTGTTTTTTGACTAAATCGGAAGTTGCTGTTTAGTACCGGCACCTTTCTTCTTTTTTTTTTAAAACCAAAAAAGCACTACTTCAGAGTATGGGCAGGATGGTGCTAGGTGTAGGTGTAGTTCTTGCCTTGCCTTAAAAAAATACAGTTTGATATAGCAACTGTTAGCGGTGCTGGTGGGGCTTTTGGTTCATGATTATTATATGTTACACTGGCTGTTATCAATTCAAAAATTGTTATTTGTATAAGTTAAGCACAATCCTAAAAGTATTGCTCATTCTCAAGATAAACTATATTCACATTGACTGAGGTCAAGAGAAGTTAAGAGATTTTTTTTTTTAAAAGGGATGTATATATTTTTTTCAGATACACTCACAAAAGAGCAGACACAGCTTATTATGGAAAAATCTTACTCACAACATTAGAGTTTGTCTTATGCAGCTGCAACCTTCTTACATCCAATGTTTTTTGCTGTGCTTAGTGAAAGATACTACACTAATCCTTCAGTTTGTGAACACACAATCTTTATTACTGAAGCTTACAAACAACAAAACTTCTTTTCT